CACCAAAGGCAGAAATTGGAGAGGAAGGACCAAAAAGATGGGTTTAGGTGCAGGTAAATAGGAAACTGTCAGAAAGACTTGAGCACTTGGGAGGGGGCATGAGCTGGGATGGGAGACAGCAGTTTTCTGTCCTGCTAAGAAATACATTTAATTATTTGACACCAAATTAAGTCCTTCTTCCCATGTTCATATTTTTTTTTTTTAATGAGGTTTAGCCTACAGGTGATCTTTCTCTCTCGTCTTTTTTTTTTTTTTCAGCTGGAGTAAGATACATTTAGCATTCTCTAGGGAAGGATGGAAACACATTCTTTTACTGTGAGAAGACTGAGAGTGTTTTATAATTAAATCAGAAGAAAACTTTCCAGATGGCTAATTCTTCACTGCAGGCAGTTTCCTGAATAAGCTCTAGACAACAGACAAGTGTTTGTGCATGTGCGGGCAAGGTACAAAGCTTCTCTTAATTACAGTTCCATGACTGATATAGGGACTAAAAATATCACAGCATCGTAGGGCATTTCTATATGTTTTTCTGTTCATTATTCTGATGCTTCACCTTGGAGTTCCTCTGTTGAACAACATGGTAAAATCCAGAGTAGTCTCTTTCGCAGTGAGATTGACTATAAATGTATATTAATACCTCGTTATGGTGATAACACTCCATTCAAGTAAAGGTTCCTGTAGTTACACTAATTTGTCCTCTCTGACAATGTGTTATGAAACCAACTCTAAATGCTTAGCTAGAATAAAGAAATAGTCACTGCTATGTTGAAGATAAGAGCCTTCACTCTGAACTTGGGCTGAAGTACTCCTTGTGTTCAGGTGCCCATCTCTGTGCTGGGACCATGCTTGCCAGAGCCTGTTGGTTCCTTCCTAGCGCGCAGGTCCCACCAGGCTCTCTGTGCTGCTCCTGACGTTTAGCATCCCATTTGCTGCCTCCTTTTTCCCGTCTTTCCAAGCTTTGCTGTCAGGCATGCCTCGCTGTTCAGGCATTGGTGCTCTCCTTCTGCGGGTGCCCCAGATGTCGGCACCCCCATCCGTGTCACTGTCCTGCTGCTGAGCCCATGGTGGTTGTGTCTCAGGGCGTGCGTGTCCTTCAGAAACGTGCCCCGTAGCCGCCCGGCTGCGAGGCAGAGGGTGCTGGGCGACTCGGAGATCTCCACCGCGTCCCTTCCCTCCGGCGCCCCGAGCCTCCTGTCTGAGCGCGCTGCCAGCTGCTTGTGTTGCCTTTGAAATGCCTGCACCCTAGAACAGCTTCTTTTCAGGTCTTGGTGGAGGCACGCTCTGCTCTCGCCTTAGTCTTGGTGCCTCACAGTGGTTTCTGAGGGGAGGCTGCTGCCTGTGCCCTCTGCGACTTCCCCCACGGACACGCTGCTCCCAGTCCATCTCCTCAGCAGCATCGGGAAGCGTAAAGTTGCAGTGAGGTTGTCAGGTTCTGCCTCCTGCAGTGAAGGAGCTGTGGGAGCAGGTGCTGGTTGTCAGTAAAAGCAGGCGCTGGCTTCATCGCCTCATGGCCACCGTGCGCGTGCCCTTGCTGCTCGTTGGACTGCCCTCCGCCAAGGCCTCGCTTGACGTTGGCTACCGCGTGGCGCTCGGGCTACCTGGGTGTCTGCGGCCACGGTCAGGAAGCGGAGGAGCCCCGACTGCTGCCGCCTTTGCATGCTGCCTGCAGAAGGATTCCAGGGCTGGAGCCCACAGCTAGGAGAAGGATGGCACATGCGTGCAGATGTGGAAGGGCTGCTTTCTGTGCGCGGAGAGGATGTCTGAGCACGGCCGTGGTGCAGAGCTGCTCCGTGCCTCTCTGAGCATTGACACCTGTCTGCTGGAGAGGGGGTTTGCAGAGGCTGCCCCGTCCTGGGTCCTGCAGTACCTGCGGTACCTGCGGCTGGACCTCTGCCGCGCTGGTGGGTGTCCTGCAAG